TAAAATAAATTATTTTTATTTTAGATATAAAAATCATATTATTTATAATATATTATATTATTCATGATATATTATATTATTCAATTTTTTAAAAGTGAATATATTATATAATATGAATAATATTATATATTATTATATTAATGTAATTTATATTATGTAATATAAATGTAATCATAAGGATAAGAAAAGAGAATAGAAAGATGAAAATGAGAAGTCAAAGATGAGAAAAGAGAACAGAGAGAAGAGAAAACACAAAAAGAAGAGATCGAGAGACAGAGAAGAGAGGGAGATCGAGATTGAGAGACGAGAGGAGAGGAAGCGAGATCGAGAGACGAGAGAGAAGACAGAGAAGGGAGATCGAGCGAAAGTTCTTTCTTGCTTTCGTCTCTCGATTGAGCGAAGTTATCAATGTCTTCTCTCTCGTCTCGCGAGGTCGGCGACCAATGTCAGAGGGATCGAAGTCGGTGACCAATGTCTTGCCCTTTTGAACGGCGACCAGGTTCGTTCTTGCTCTCTCCTCTTTCATTTCTTTTGCCGCCGTTTGTAAAGAGCCGTGTCCGAGAGAGAAAAGGAGAATCCGACACAGATCCCACACCCGCACCCATGTCGTGTCGACACAGGTATTTCAACCCAAAGTGCCGAGTCCGTGCAACATAGGCAGACCTAAACACACGAAGGAGGAAGTAATTAGGAAGTTGAGAAAACAGAACCTCATAAAGAGACCGACCAAAAAAAGGGGGGGTAGGCATACGGTTGCAAAGAAAAGCAGCAATAAGAACTGTCTAACCCCAAAAGGGAGCTAAAACGGAGGCAAAGAGAGAGAGACCAAGCTATCTCAAGGAGATGACGGTGTTTATGCTCAGCTCGACCAATTTGGGCAAGTGTATCAGTACAGGAAGTTTGGTGAATCGTACCCAAATTAGCCAAAAATTCACAGGACTCAGTTTTAAATCATTCCCCGCCCAAGTCAAACCGCAACAATTTAATAACAGACCCAAACTGTGTAGTGACCATAAACTGAAAAGTACAGTTTATATGGTGAAATCAGACTTATGAGTCATAAGTGTAACGAGTGCAGTCATCAACAAATGAAACATAATATGCAAAACTCCCTTTAGTGAGAACAAGGAGGAAGACCCCAGACAACAGTATGAACTAAAAAAAACGGTATATCAAATATAGAGGTACTTTTACAAAAAAGTAAGGCTATCATTTTGACAAGTTTACGCCATGGACACTCGGTAAGTGGACTAGGAGAAATTTTACCCAATATACTTGACTAAGCTAAAGACCGTAAACGGCCAACAGACAAATGCCCTAATCTGGAATGACACAAATAGAAAGGACTTGACAAAGAATCTAACTAAAAAGAGGAAAAAGCAGTCCGAGAGGTAGTCATAGACAGACATAGGCTCTCCACCATATAGAGGTCTCCAACTCTATGACCAGTCCCAATCTACTGCTTTGACATCCGATCCTGCACAGAACAGATAGAAGAAGAAAAGATAACATCAAAACCGGAAGTATCAAGCTAATTGATTGATAATAAACTAACAGATAACTGAGGAACATAAAGAACAGATGGAATAGAAATAGCAAACATAGTAGACGGTAAGACAGACCCAATAGATATAACAGACATACCAGACCCATTAGCAGCATTAACACTAATAGAAAAAGGAGGGAGAGTACAATTTTAAAGTAAGGAGAGATAAGAGAGTCATGTGATGAGAGGCGCTAAAGTAAAAAATCTAGACAGACAAGGAGATACTTGAAGAAGACCCAAGCAAACCTGAATGAAGAGAGGAAGTAATAAAAGTAGATGGGGATGGTTGGGAGGTAGACAGTATATGTTGAAACTGACTAATTTGAGCACTCAAGGAAGCCAAGTCAGGATCAAGAGCCAGAGCAAATGCAATACAAGTAGCGAGAGGAGCGCGAAATTGATTCTAAGATTGCTGAAAAGACGAGGCAGACAAACATCCCTTCTTGGGACAGTGGTACTTCTAATGGCCCCTCTGATGGCAGAAGGCACACTCATCAACAGCCAGAGACATCGTAATAACCAGAATACTAAGGGGTTCAAGTGTAATAAACCCTAAATAGAACAAAATAACCAAATCAGGAGTCGAAGGGTAATAACCAAAAATCTTGGGGGTTTAAGTGTAGTAAACCCAAAATAGACCAAAGTAACCAAATCCAGATCAGATGACCCGACAAACCAAATTACCAAACGAACCAGTCAAACAAGAGAGACAGAGAGGGAGCAGACCTTGTAAAGAGAGAGATAGCAAGATCGTGAGAACCAGATGGAGATGACCTAGATTTTCGCAAATCAAATGATCACGATCGATGGCCATGACTCAAACTCAGATAGGTTGCGATCGATGGGCCACTACTTCAAACTCATATGGGTCACGATGAACATAGATGGGTCAACAACCAAAGAAACAAAGAAAGATGATCTGGGTCCTCGAAGCAGATGGGTTGCATGATCCTATCGAAGCAGAGATTGGACTTGATGTTGACCAAAGAACTCGATCGTGTCCAGAGACAAAGTCAAACCAGAACCAAAAATCAACCTCGTGGGCCAGAATTTGAGTTCGACGAACCAGAGGAGATTGGTCAATCACGAATCAGGAGTTTCGAACCAGGTGGGATGGGTAGCGATTCTGGTGCTCGAGGGGTTGTGATTTCAACGAAGGCAGATTTTGAACCAGATGAAACTTTGAACGAAGAAGGAACTTCGATCAATCAGAAGCCAGAATGAACGATAGCTCTAATACCATGCAAGATTTCTGAATGTTTTCTGTATATTCAATTGTGTATGATACAAAGAGTACAACCGATATATATAGTAATCCTAAACGTAATCTAAAATAGGAAATAAGAAAAACCTTATACAATTAATCTAATATCCACACAATCAAACTAAAATATACAATCAATCTGATATATTTCCATAATTAACATAATATACGCACAACTAGAACATAGACTAACACTTTCTTCACATATCACAAAGAAGCTTTGATCTCATATTAGTTGCATTGCACCCACTATAAAATCAACGTAAATGTGCTAAAGGTTCAAACCACATATGATGTATAAAATATGAGAAGAGAGCCTTCAAAGCTGATTATAATCATCAGTTAATGCTTAGAAAGGTCCAGTAAAACTCAAGATTTGGGTTGAGTGTAATGGAGAAGGCTTTTCAGTTTATATTTACGCAAGCACAAATTTTTTATGTTGTTTGGGGCTATGAAGAGTGCCTGAACTCTAACATTAGTAGGTATTGTAATTTTAGGGTGATAGTATAGAGCGTTTAGAGGAAATAATTACACGAGAATGCTTTAGCAAAAGAACTAGAGTTTTTTTCTTTTTTTACTGAATTAAAAAGAAATTTGTTTGCAAAAATTGAAAGAGAAATCAAACACCCAGAGAACTGTAAAAATCAATAATCAGTGGCAAACGCAGGAATTTTAGGAAGGGGGGGCCTGTATGCATTTAAAATTGGCTAATAGAATTGTACTTATTTTATTTGTAGCGAAAATATTGTACATAAATTATGCTAAAAGATATGTTTTTATACGTATAAAATTTTAAAAAATGACATTCAATTTGCAAAACGTAAGGTTATCATTATGAACATAATTTACATGTTTGCCATGCCACATCATTTTAAAAGCAAACTCTATATAAAAATTCTTGTGATATATCATACTCTTTGTATAAAACATAATGTTAGTTTGAATCTTTACATATAAAAATTTAGAAATAATTACTGTACACACCCTTGGATGGTAAAGTTTATAACATCATACTTTAATATTTACAAAGTTTATCATTAATTTGTAAACAATTTTTAAAATATACACTGACATGTGAATTCCTTTAAAAAAAAAAAAACAAGCGTAGACCATAGGCATCTTTACTTCTAGTTATTAGATTTATGAAAAGAAGCGGGGAAAAAATAGTAACAATAATTTTTACCATTTATTTGGTTCATAACCACCATCACTACATATAATAATCAAACATCACTATATTTATTTATAACCAAAAACAACCATGAATCATAACTAAACATCCCTAATTTTATAAAATATAATGAGACTTGAAATTTTTGGCAAGGGCCACCCTTCGCAATTTCAAAGAAAGAAACCAAAGCACCATTTATTAATAGGCAATACTAAGGGGTTCAAGTGTAATAAACCCTAAATAGAACAAAATAACCACTATCAATAACGTAATCTTTTACACAAACACACATGTTGCTTTACATATCCTAGTTACAGTCTTATTTATCAAAAATACATATATATATATATATCCTAGTTACAGTCTCCCATCCCATCAACTTCTTATTTGGGAAATTAGACAAACCTAGAAAACCATGAAACTCATCAACAGGCCCATGGGAAGACATGCTTCCTAAATTAAGCTTCCACAACATGTTTTTTCTAACACAAGAAATGCGCACAACATAAACAAAAAGTTGCATTGTATAGGTAGTTATCCCAGTCAACCAACTATTTACAATTTTCTTTTTTCCTTTTTTTATATAGTTGACGGGATTCAAACACTGATGTCTGCTCCACAATAGCTCCCATATCATCAGTGGGTCCAATAGCTCCAATTTTTATTTTTTTTGGTTTTACAAAAAAATTACTTCAACAAGGTAAAGATGGAGCAAAAAACTAGTCTTGATTAAAATTCACTACAAAATAAAAGGGCATATATAAAATGATGAATTTGGCAAAAAGAATAAGGCAAAAAAAATTTGCTAGAAGCCAAATTTTGGCAATAAAAATACATATGGCAATGATGGAGTAAATATGCCAGGGCCCAAGTATTGTCAATTGAAATGCAATCAAACTTCTACCAATGCAGTGAAGAGAAATCGCCAACGGAAAATACATAAGCCAGATGGAGAAATATTGACTGCCAGGTAGAGGAACAAATCAATGATCAAATAGTATTCCACATGAAGCACATACTTGCTTTGACTTGTCATAATTTTCATCAACAACATCTTTAACAGCAGAAGAGTCACTGAAAAGAATCCAATTAATCAAGTTACTTCAAAAAAGTCACAGTGTACACCTAGTTGAAGAAATCAAACTAATAGTATTAAATATTAATACAACTATAGTGTTCTAGATTACAGGAACGTAACCTTGACTCATTTATTCAATTTAAGAAACTGGAATCTGCAACAAACCTGGGTACCTTCGGTGGCACAGAATGAACTCCACCCTTCAGCAGGGTGATGTGTACGGTAATATCAACAAGCACAGCATGAAAAGTATCAAAATGGACAGGGCAATATGAATGCAGTCCTAGAAGAGCTTTAGGAGGAATTCGAAATTCATGGACTGAAGCAGAGCATACATCCAGAGAAGACTGCAAACCAAACCTGCAGATAGTGTATTCAAACAGCGATTTGGATTTAAAATGGCTATCTGATTCCACTTTGCATGTTACAAAGCATGACTAGAAAGAAAAATAATGTTTCATCTATCATCATTCAACACTGAAAATAGAGAGAGAGAGAGAATCAGGTGAACTAACCCATTCTCCAATACAGGGGCATACATAAGCTCAAATTTCAAAATGACAGCAGATGTGGATGGACCCTGCTAATTTAATGCTATATCAGTTGCCAAGATAAAATAAATAATTAAAAAAACAGAAGAAAAAGAACAGAAGATTTGAAGGAAAAAATGAGCACACAAAGAAGGTAGACATGTACAGAGAATAAATAAAGGTATTCTCTAGAGAACCTATATCCATTGAAGGTCAAAGACACTAAAAGCTATATCCAAGTTTCTTGTCTCCTTGGCCAAAAGCTTCTCATAAAAATGTGGAAGGGAATAACACTAGTGCCATCATATGGGCCTAGGTGGCCCATGCAAATATAGACACCTTTACCAAAAGATTATGATTATCGCCCTGTTGCCTTGCTCTTGGAGGAGATCACTCATTTTGGTACACTTTATTTGCTCTTTAATATTGTTCGTTTTTTGAACAAATGCAAGGAGACTAATACCTCATATTGACCCAGAGATAAGTTGAATGAGATCATGACAGATAGAAGAACGTCCTGCCTTGCATATTTGATTTTGAAAGGCGGTGTAAAGAAACTGTGATCTGTGTCATTAATCCTCCACACTCCATATACATCATCAGAACCCAAATCAGGAGCTGCATCTCAATGAAAGATTATCTTAGCTGTCGTTTCATCCAGAAGAAATATCAATTAAAGGCTACAAGGCCCTTGAATAATTAAAATATATCTTAGGTCAAAAAATAAAATAAAAAAGACATCTATAGCAGAACCAAGACAAAAGGCAAAATGTTACAACAATAAATAAAATAAAATAAAATAAAAAGCAAATCACTACTTTTATAGAGCTTAAGTGATCAAAACACATAGCCAAAGAGGGACCAAGAGTGAGGAAGCATGTTGTGAGAGCAAGAGCCAGAGAGCATCCACCTACAAAATATGCAAAACTAGTAGCACCTATATGTATTGAACAAAATATTGGCAAACATTATGATGCACAGATCGATTTATTGAATATCGCAAGCTAAACAATAAGATATTTTGTTAAGAATTCTGACTGACAAAATGCATAGACATCAAGAATTTCAAAACATTTAGATCGGTTTATCATGACATTACACACTATCGTTCTGTTTTGCAGACAAACTCACACAGCAATTCATAACTATTCGAAGAAACATCCATATGTACATATCTGAAAATTGATTTATTTTATTTTTAATTTTAAATACTTTGATAGATCCATTTGAAATTATTTATGCTTTTTAAAAAATTTCACAAATCACTAGTCCCTGAATGAGACATCTCTCTCTCTCTCTCTTAATAGTTTTTTGATGAAAAACTTCACTGAATTCCAGATGTATAATAATTATATTACCTTATGTGTAATTTACATGAAACATTTCATCAAGTTATTAAAATTACTGCTTGAAATCTTTTGCTTTTTTTGCATTAAATCTACAAAAATTTTAAAAAATAAATAAAAATAAACTATTTTATAACATATATCTTCTCAGTCAAGGAGCTCATTTTTATCTTGGCACAGGAGTTGTACACAGGACAGGAAAACTATAAATAGGCTTGGAAGTAACACCACTATTTTGATGTGATGCTTGTGGAATGAAATAGACAAGAGAGCTTTTGAAGGAGCAGAGAGATTGATTCTGTGCTAGAAAAAAGCATTGTTAGTCTCCATGTTTTTTTGGCTAAGGAAAACTTTTCCTTCTATCTTCTTTTGTTGACTTTTCAGGAGAGTTGTATATCCCCATACATATATAGGTGATTTTTGTTTTATTTTTGACACCGCATATACCATGCATACAAGGCTGCAGTCCCTTTGATGCATTTTTAAATGAATAATTATCTTTACTTATCAATATAAATATAAATAAATATATATATATATATATATCTTACAAGTTACAATACAAAAAAATGCATTTTTAAATGCTTAAGTTAGTGTGCTATTGTAATTGATACAAGATAGGACATAGTGGGACTATAATTGTTATAATTAATCTAACTAGAGTTATCATTCTCTCTCTCTCTCTCTCTCTCTCTCATAGGGAGAGTAAGGGTAGAATCCAATCAAGAAATTTGAGAAAAACTTTAACATTTCCCCATTATCCAAATTAGCATCAAAACTTGAAATTTTCATTAAGTTTTCAAAGTGGCCAATATGTCATGACAAATTTATAGGTGCAGATCTGTTGACGAGAGTAGATACGAATTATAGATATGTGTAGATGTCAGGAACATTACACCAAACCAAAATAAAGAAGGCATTAGTTCCCTTGTCAACAGCAATTTCCACATAACACAATGTACTAATTGGATAAGAAAAATAGATGGATTATCCTTTAAATTACCAGCTAATAGCAATACCAAATAGCAAACCAAAAACATATACAATTCCCGATATAAGATATGCCTTTGTATGAATGAAAGACCAACACATTTGAGCAATAAGCACTTTGATCAAACACTAGGGCCATGTTTGTTTTGACAGACTGGATTAGCTTGGATTAGCATTCTCATGACTAATAATCCTAGAACTATGAATCCTTTGGATTGTATATCCTATCCAATGGTTGGTTTGAGTTAGGATTATAAGGAGAGACTAGTAGTCCATACTTTGGCTTAGCCTTCCAATTTATATGTCACCCCTCAGTGGGATTAAATAGTCTATCATATGTGGATATATCCAAATGGATTGGTAGTCCGTACTTTAATTATTTAACCAAACATGAGATCACTAATTTTATTCAACTATTAGTCCAATCACAGCTCATGTCCATCCAAACAAACATGGTCTAAATGGTTTTATTTATCCAAAACCCAACAAAGGGGTTTGGTGAGAAAAAGAAATCCAATCACTTGAGAGTGTGTATGTATGTATGTAAAGACTTCAAATTGGGAAGTAAATAAATAAAAATGACATACCTTCGTATTGAACCACTCTAGCTGGCGTTCCGAGACAAGTGTCGTCACCGTCCTCCCGTCTCATTGTAATCTTAATCTGATACCATCTACAACGCACATAAAATTAAAAAAATCATAAAGAAATGATCAAATAGAAAGAGAAATGGATATAGAAGAAGAAGAAGAAGTAATAGAAGCATACATACCCTTGTTGGAAAAGGTCGAGATTATGAAAGCGATGAATGAAGATGGCAATCTCGTGAACAGCCTCTAGCATTGGCTGGTTAGGCTGCTTGTCTGCTAATGGTGATGGTGGTGGCAAGGAGAGAAGCTTGGCAGCAGCATGAGGTAACCTCTTGGGGTGGTTGGAAGAAGAAGACGATGAATTTCTATTGGAATTGAGGCCAATGATCCATCTGAGACCCCGTAGTAACATCACCTCTTCTTCCCCAACACTAGCATCCCTCTGATTCTGATTCTGACGATGATTCTGAAGATGATCAAAAACCCTAGATTTGGTTTTTGACTGGAACTGTTTGTTTGTTTGTATATGGGGCAAGACAGACGGGCTTTTGTTGGCGTCGTCCGTCGTTGTCCTGTCTGTCTGCAACAAAAACCTCAAGGTAACAATGAATGCGAGTTTGGCTACCAGTCGGGTTCAAACGGCGTCGTTTGGGCTTTGGGATTTGGGGATTTTTGCGTGCTAAACCCTCGTATCGTATGTTTTTCTTCCCTCCAAAAAAAAAAAAACACAAAAAACACAAAAAAACACAAAAAAAAAAAAAAAAACTTGTGCAGTATGTTTTTCTAATAATATAAAAAAAAATATGATTTTTATTGATAAATTTTATTTAGAAGTGTTCTAACTTAATAAGTCCATCCACAAAAATTATAACTTAGTTAATCTCATATATTTATACTTTTGTTTCATGAGGTTCTTTTTTTTTTATTTGTATTGTTTGTTGGACTATTATACCATTATGTCTATTGTCCATATGTATTACATGGAAAAATAATATATACATTTCCTTTTTATTGTTACATTTATTTTGATAGTTACCATCATTCACATTTTTTTTTTGATCAGTTTCATTAACATTTGTGGTAATGTTTTATTGTGTTAGGGTTTCGAAACTCTCTATTTGCTAGAGTTTAGAAACTCTAGTTTACATATGGTGGTGAAATAATATTATATTCCTCCATTGTTGCGGTAAAACTTTATGTTCCTCCATTGTCACTTTGCGTTCGAAGTTCTATATTCATCCATTGTTACTCTGTGTTCGAAACTCTATGTTTTTCCATTGTTGTAAGTCGAAACTCTTTTTATGTCGAATCAATTTTGTTACAAACATATTTTTCAAGGGTGAGTTTAGTTTGATTTAGATTACTAGAATGGTAAAATTGCATAAATTGTTAATAATAGTGATAATGATAAAGATGATGATAAAAATGAAGATGTGGTTGATATTTTTTTGTTTTTAGAGTGATTGAGTTTTTGTTGGATTTTTAATTCTATTACTGCTATTATTTCTATTTTTTTGTCAATTAGTGTGAATATTCACATTTCACATTTGAAAGTCTGATAAATAAGTGTTGGAATATAAATATGGATATAATTATATATTTCGCAAGATGTGAATATTCACATATTATTAGTTATTTGTTACTATACTTGTTGTTTGAACAATCTTTTTTTTTTTTGTTACCATTAAACAATTGAAATAGTCATTTTTATTAATTTCAATTTTGTTTTATGTTGCAGTGTGAATATTCACATTGGTATGAATTTAGTTTTTCTAAGGTTAGTTGTATGTTAATTGTAAATTGTAAACATTTATATTGTATTTTGGTATGAGTATTTTTTTGAATTTTGAATTTTGAATTTTTTTCAAAAGTTAGTTGTATTTTGTTTTTTTTTTTTTTTTACTATACTTGTTGGTTGAATAATAATATTTGTTACCATTGAACAATTAAAATAGTCGATTTTCACTTTTTTCAATTTTATTTTATATTTTCACGTTGCAGTGTGAATGTTCACGTTGGTATAAATTTATTTTTTTAAAAAAACTAGTTGTATATTAATTGTAAATTGTGAACATTTACATTGTATATTGGTATAAGTTTTATTTTTTAGAAAGTTAATTATATATTTGTTGTTTTTGTTACTATGCTTATTAGTTGAACAATCAGGATTAATTATCAAAAAGTCATGTCTACATATTTGGTGGTAGCTTAAGTCCTGTTAAAAAGTTTTTGAACCAATAAGTCCCATTTATAGGTAAAAAGACGTTTTGCCTTTTAATTGCAAAACTGATAATGTTCTCAATTTTCAAAATAGAGAATAATTTCAGTATATAATTATCAAAACTAAGAAATTTCTTAATTTTTTTCCTAGTATGAACTAAGAATATTATCAGTTTTGAGAAATCTCTCAATTTTTTTGGTGTTGTTGGTGTGGTGACTTTGGAAAAATCGAAGCTCGATATGACGCAGAAGCAAATCACACTGATAATGTTCTCAATTTTCAAAATAGAGAATAATTTCAGTATATAATTATCAAAACTAAGAAATTTCTTAATTTTTTTCCTAGTATGAACTAAGAATATTATCAGTTTTGAGAAATCTCTCAATTTTTTTGGTGTTGTTGGTGCGGTGACTTTGGAAAAATCGAAGCTCGATATAACGCAGAAGCAAATCACATCAAGTCCTGAGGTATGTGTTCTCTTCTTACTTGATCACATAAAATCTACCATTATTTTATAGTTGCTTCACACTACATAACAGTTTCTCATCTATTTTTTTTTTCAGGCAAATCGTTTCAAACCAAAAAAAAAAAAGAATAAGAAAAAAGAAATCAAAAGCTTTTCAACACTAGAACACTGCACAAGAAGTCAAAATTCAACTCCTTATGCATATACATGAGTTAGAAAATTCATAAAAACAAATAGATACGAACCAGACGATTGAGGGTGGATTCAAGTATGATGACAGTGAAATTTGGGGGAAACTCAGAGGACCCATGAATGAAAGAATCTTGTTGAAGAACTCTAACACTCTCATCACTACTATTTCCCCTGTAACCAGAACTTGAAATCAACCCAGTCATGGTGTTTGGATGACTCCGATTCCTGGCTCTTTTATACTCCAAAACAAGTTTTCGGGAAACAAATTCACCAGAGAAAAGCAATCTCAAGGAGGAAATTCAGGGTTTGAAACGATTTTCAGAGATTTGAGATTAGGGAGAAGAAAGAATGCATGTCATGTAAGGGTAAATTGGTCTATTAAAAATTAATGGGACTTAAAAGAGCAAATAATTTTATATAGGACTTAATGAATTATAAGTTCACAAAATGGGACTTGTATGTAAATGCCCCATCATTTTTGTTACCATTGACCAATTGAAATAGTCGATTTTCACTTTTTTCAATTTTATTTTATGTTTTCACATTATTGTATAAACGTTTACATTGATATGAGTCATTTTTTTTAAGGCTGATTATATATTAATTATAAATTGTGAACATTTATGTTGTATTTTTATATGAATTTTATTTTTGGAAGGTTAGTTGCATGTTTGTTATTTATTGTGAACATTCATATTTATTTGAGATTCTTTTCTATAGAATGCAAGAAAGATTTTCTGCTTAGAATAAGGGAGAGATTTTCTATATGTAGTAAGGAAAAGATTTTCTTTTTAGGATGAGGGAAAGATTTTCTCCATAAAATGAGGGATTATTATTGTGTATTAATTTCAAATTATAAATAAAAAAATGCTTGGTGGCCTGAATTTGTGTGGCTCGAATTCAAAACGACGTTGTTTTACACCCAAAACGACGTCGTTTTGAGATATTCGAGCAATGAAAATTTGGGTCACCTAGCATTGTTGTTATAAATATGTGCAAAAAATTAGAAATGATGATTTGATGACCTGTACTACTAAGATCTCCTCTACTATGATCAGATAGACAGTCGGGACTTGAAAATTTAGTTTGCTTTGCCTCTCCATTTATTTATTTTCTCTCTTTCTGTTTATTTCTTGGCAACAACTTAAGTAAGATTGCGAGTTAGGAAGGGTTGGGAATAGGTGAAGGGATTGGAGACGGTAAGGTGTGATGGTGGTGGCAACATCAGGTGGGGAAAGAAATGAATTGCCGATGATAATAAAGGGAGGAAAGGAATGGAGGCTAGTTGCTATAAAAGAGAGAGAGAGAGAGAGAGAGAAAATAGGGCATTATTGTAATTACAATTATAGATTTCAACCATTTGTATTTTTTCTTGTTTCTTTATTATTTCATAAATAATTACTCCAAATCTCATTTTTATGAAATTCTACCTTACTTTTTACTTATTTCAATTTATTTACAACTGTCCAATAACACAAGGGATAGGGGTGTTCGCGGATCGGTTTTGTGCGGTTTGCGGTTCGGTTTTGACCCACCCGCATCTATGCGGTTTGGGAAAAAATCAACCCGCAACCGCCCGCAGTGCGGTTTGCGGTTTGTGCGGATAGGGTTTGCAAATGTGCGGGCGGTTGCGGGCGGTTTGCGGTTTACACTTTTTTCTTTAAAAGTTAATTTTCGAGTTTTTTTTCCCGGCGAATTTAGTCATCAGATTCATTTTATATATTTGTGATAACAATTTTTTGATGAGTTTACAAATAAAAATTGAATAACAATGTATTAAATGAAAGTACCCAAAACAAAGAGACCCTACACTAGCATTTTTGCCATGAAAAAAATGTATATCAATGCATTAAAGGTTGTACTCAATTAGAATTGGCAGTTCAGTAATCAATAATCAAACTATAAGTTCCATCGACTATTAGAAGGAAAATTTTATTAGGAAAAAATGAATGAATCACCAATGAAAATCATATAAGAAACCAAGTTTAGGACTTTATAATTCTACGGCATTAAGAAAGTTGAGAAATACTTAAAAACAAGGATCCTAGTGTCATAGAGAATATAATAGTGCTCCTGTAAAAATTACAAAGTTGGTATATAAAGAATAATAATAATAATAACAATAATAATAATTAAAGTGCGGGCGGTTTTTGCGGGTTGCGGGTTTAAATCGCGACCCGCCCGCAACCCGCAAATTTGTCATATTTCAAACCGCATCCGCCCGCATTATGTTTGCGAAACCGCCCATTTATATGCGGGTTGGGCGGATTGGACGGTTTGAACGGTTCGGATAAACCGTTGCCCACCCCTAACAAGGGACATGTAAGTATAAAGTGGAGTGATTCTAAAACAAAAATACTTAGGACCTCTAATTAGAGGTGCCACTAGTGATGTGGTAGTGGGTCCTACCCACTGCCACTGTCAATGCTATGTCTGTTTTTTTTTTTTTTCCTTTTCCACCTCATTAGAAGTGTGTTTAGAGCCTCTAAATTAGAAGTGTCTAGCATCACTGATCCTAAAATACTGTCACATGATTCTTCCACATGTGTTTTGATTGGTTACAAGGATAGGATCTACAATTTTATATTAAATAATTAAGATTTATAATTGATTAGAAGTATAACTAGGTGATACCCAAAATCAATCAATAATTTCTCCATTTTGCTTGCAGTTGCATTCCATCCCTTCTCGGTGTGTCCGAGTAGTGCGCGGAAACCTTTGTCAAAAAGCTGTCCGAGCATGCGCA